CCTCCTGAGTTCAAGCAATTCTCCTGCCTCAGCCTCCTGAATATCTGGGATTACAGGCGCCCGCCACCATGCCCAGCTAATTTTTGTATTTTTAGTAGAGATGAGGTTTTACCATGTTGGCCAGGCTGGCTCATTAGATTTTTAATTGGTTATTAAAATATTATTTTTAATATGAATTTCTTTAGAAAATATTCTATAACAGCTATTCTCTGAAGTTTTTACTTAAATATTATTTAAAGATATAAAATTTATTAAAATTTATTGCTATTATGTAAAGATTAAAAATTTTATCAAAGCAATGATGAAGCTTATCAATTATGAAAAATTAGTGAGGCCAGGCATGGTGGCTCACACCTGTAATCCCAGCCCTTTGGGAGGCCAAGGCTGGTGGATCACCTGAGGTCAGGAATTCAAGACCAGCCTGGCCAACATGGCGAAACCCTGTCTCTACAAAAATACAAAAATTAGCTGGGCATGATGGCTGGTGCCTTTAATCCCAGCTACTACGGAGGCTGAGTCGGGAAAATTGCGTGAGTCTGGGCGACAGAGCAAGATTTCATCTTAAAAAGAAAAATTAGTGATTACATTTACCCCTTCCTACCTTTTTAGGTGTTTCCAAACTATCATATTTATCCTCCAACTGCACCTCACGTTGCTTATATGCAACCGAAAGCAAATGCACCTTCCTTCTTCATGGCTGATGAACTCCGACAGGTATGCTTTCAGAATTCATAGTAGGAAAACTTAACGTCTCCGTGCTTTACTGAACAGAGGAAAGAACAGAGCTCTTTTCAGATCGTATTATTTAATCAAATATTCTGTAGTAAAGCACACCGAATTTAGAAATTTTAATTGGTATATTTAAGGAAACCTGACTTTTAAAAATTTTTCAAATAAATTATGTGTTAGGATATAAAATATAGAATAGCTATTTAAATGGGTCACTGTTCTGTATCTCATATTATTTCTGTTGAAAGGGCTCTTTGAAGTATATAAATAATTTAAATAGTTTCTAACAGTATTTTTCTAATAGGCATAGGTTAAAAATAAGTCTTTTGGCCCAGAAAATAACTTTAAGAGAGCTCAATTTTTTAAAAGTATGTTTTATGAAAGCTTTTTGTTTTGTTTAATTTTTGGTTAAGAGCTAGTTATTTGATATTTATAATTTCACTTTACACTCAGATTCTCAGAAATATTTTTGTTTCACAAAAGTGAATTCTACCAGTATAATGTTTTTTAAATTAATTATGACCAGCTTACTAGTAGACCTTGAAATTTCAGCCACAGCGTTAGTCTTGCATTTTGGGTAGCACAGCCACCTAAACCCAGTCTTAATTATGGGCAAGTCTAAGTCTATCTGGGCCTGGAGTTCAGACATCTTACCATGTTTAGGAATGTTGTTTCATGATTTTAATATTAAAAAGTACACATGCCAAAAATATTAATACTTAGATTATTTAGTTATTATAGGAAATCCAGGTTTCAGAATCTGTATTTAAATAAAAATATACTTATTTCTGTTTCATAGGAGCTGATCAACAGACATTTAATAACAATGGCTCAGATTGATCAAGCAGATATGCCAGGTAAAATGCAAGTAGATTCTTCCTTTCATTTAAAGACTGTTGTGATTCTTATATAGTAGTACATGTTTTTATGCATTATTAAAAAGAGTTCCAGGCTGGGTGTGGTAGCTCATGCCTGTAATCCTAGCAGTTTGGGAGGCTGAGGTGGGTGGATTGCTTGAGCCCAGAAGTTTTAGACTAGCCTGAGCGAAATAGTCGGAACCTGTCTCTACAAAAAATAAATTCGCGGGGCATGGTGGTGCACATTTGTAGTCCCAACTACTCAGGAGGCTGAGGCAGGAGCGTCACTTGAGCCCTGAAGGTCAAGACAGCAGTGAGCTGACTATAACCACCCCACTGCACTCTAGCCTAGGTGACAGAGTGAGACCCTGTCTCCAGAAAAAAAAAACAGTCCCAAGAATCTACTAATCATTTAGTTTATTTCTGTTAATTCTATGTATGACAGTATTCTAGTTCACAGAAAATGCATATAGTTTTAGAATTCATGGTGAGTTATTTTACTCTGCACTGGAATATTTTTTATCTCTTGAAACTTAATGAAGTATAGGTTCTTAAGCAGGAGAGGATGGTAATTATTATTACCATTTGTGAGACTACTCTGTGCCAGACAGCATACTAATTAAATACTTTACATGTCTTACTTTATTCCTCACAAACATCCTGTGACATTGTGATTATCATTTCCATTTTACATATGAGTAATACTGAAGTTGACAGGTTAAGTAACTTTACCTTTAGGTCCAATGGCTAGTAAATAGCTGACTGGTTCCAGACTTAAACCTAGGTTTTTCTGATGATACCACAATATTTCTTAAAGTGTATTAAAATATCTTTCCTTAGCTTACTCTGTATAAATGAAATATGATATAATTTAGTAAAATTTTAGAAATAATATAGTAGGAATACATTTGTCATAGAGATAATCTCAAAACACCTGGTTGTAATCAGGCATTCAGCATAGTCAGTGTGTTGTCTTGATTGCTAAGGAATTAAATATATCTGGCTGTTAATGTCTTAACACTGATCTTTCCAGGTGAGGTGGGAAGGAACTTACTTGTCATAACCTTTGAAATATTCATCTTGGAATTTTTCTTAACTGTTAACACTGTATTTGAGGCTTTAGCCAGGTTTTGCAAAAGTTTATAAAGAAAAAAAAAGGAAAGGCATAATGACTAGAAAGGAGAAAATAAACCTACCACCTATAAGTCATGTGACTGCATATTAGACATTCTGTGAAATAACAAACTGTAGAAAATGACTGGATATAAGATTAATACATCAGTTGCATTTCTGTGAGCTAGTACTCAGTTAATTTCAAAATATAATTAAAAGCAAATTGCTATTTAAAATGGTTTTGCAATATCAATGTGTAGGAGTAAACACAACAAAAGATAGGTAAGATTTCAGCACAGGAGATTTATTAAGAAGTATTAAATAAAATGAAATACTCTAGATTAGTAGAGATTACTCATGACTAGGGAGACAGAACAAGTAAGATGTGAATTTTTCTAAATTGATCTAAAAATTCAGTAGAATTCCAATCAAAGCATAACTTCCAGTAAGATCTTTTCATGAAGTATGATAAAATGTATCAAAGATTGAAGGGCCAAGACCATCCAAGGCACTTTGAAGAATATGGTTATGATTTATGTTCATATGAAGAATTTGTGTATTAGGGAAGGAGAGGTTTGATTTGAGTCTGCAGTAACTAAAACAATGTGCTGATGGCACAGGGTTAGACAGATTGATTAATGGAACAGATTACAGAGAGCCCAGACAAATTCTGTGATAAAGGTGGCAACTCAGTGGGGGAAAGGAAAACATTGCAAAAATGTTTTTTGGTTCTTTAATTAAAAAAATAAACTTTTTTTGAGGCAACGTCTTGGCACTGTCACACAGGCTGGAGTACAGTGGTGTGATCATGGCTCACTGCAACCTCCGCCTCCTGAGCTCAAGCAATCCTCCCACCTCAGCCCCCCAGGTAGCTAGGACTACAGGTGTACACTACAACACCCGGCTAATTTTATGTATTTTGTAGAGACGGTTTCACCATGTTGCCCAGGCGGGTCTCGAACTCCTAGAATCAAGTAATCCTCCTGCCTCTGCCTCCCGGAGTGTTGGGATTACAGATATGAGCCGCCATGCCCAGCCACAAAAGTGGTTTTCTATATTGACAAGATAAAATTGGATCATTATCTCAGGCCACATTAAAAAGTCAACTTCAAATAGATTAAGAACTTAACACGTGTAAGACAGAACTCTGAAACTCTTACTGTAAAATATAAATGAATGTCTTTTATCTACTTTTAAAATACTTTTAAAAATAAAAATTAATTTTATCTACCTTTGCAGCGATGATAAAATATTTAAAATATTTGCCAGGGGCGGTGGCTCACGCCTGTAATCTCAGCACTTTGGGAGACCAATTCGGGCAGATCACCAGAGGTCAGGAGTTCAAGACCAGCTTGACCAATAGGCTACTTGGGAAGCTGAGGCAGGAGAATCGCTTTAACCTGGGAGGCGGAGGTTGCAAGGAGCCAAGATCGCACCATTGCACTCCAGCCTGGGCAACAAAAGTGAAACTCCATCTCAAAAAAAAAAAAAAAACAGTAAAATATTTTTGTCACATTCTCTTTCAGATATCCATGAGTGCTTTACATCGTTCTTCAGTATGCACACAATTTTCACTCAGACATTTTCAAACACCGCCATATGTTTCTGACTATCCCTTCACACTTAACATTTGTTTGCATTACAGTTCACCCATTTGTCACTTGATAGTATAATTATTCTTCCAGTATCTGGCATCATGAATTACAGTGCAATCAACATAGTCATCTACTTAGTTTTTTCTTCTGTAGGAAGTATTTTTTTCCTTAGAAGAAATACTTTACGTATTCCTAAACTGATCTATAGATTTAGTGTAATTCAGAAATACTTTTATAAGTATAAAAAATGTAAATAATTGATAAGTTGATGCTAATTTAAAAATACATTAGAAAAGAAAAGAGTGCCAGGTGCAGTGGTTCACACCTGTAATCCCAGCACTTTGGGAGGCCAAGGTGGGCAAATCAGTTGAGGCCTGGGCAACATAGCAAAACCCTATTTCTACTAAAAATACAAAAATTAGCCAGGTGTGTTGGCATGCTACACAGGAAGCTGAGGCACGAGGCTGGCTTGAACCTGCGAGGCAGAGATTGCAGTGAGATTGTGCCACTGTACTCCGTGAGTGACAGAGCGAGACTATCTCCAAGAAAACAAAAGAGAGAAAAATGTAAAGTAGAAATGGTTTTAATGCTTAGAACATAGAACCAAATTGCTTCCCAAAGGAAACACCATTGTCAGTTAAACACCATTGATTTATAAGTTGTAATAATTTACTAGCAACCCCATAGCAAACGAGCGCCTAATATCCTTGGTAATTGCTCTGGTCTTTGTATTTTCATAGTGTTTTAGCTGTCAAAGTGTGATTCCTTAACCAGCGGCCTCATTTTCATTGACTTTTAGTAACTTGTTAGAATTGTAAGTTCTTGGATCCCACTTCTGACTGTATCAGAAACTTGGGAACTGGGACCCCACAAACCATGTTTTAATAAGGCTTTAGGCGATTCTGACAGGTGCTGAAGTTTAAGAACCAGTGCCATGGAGAATTATATTTTTTAAATGGTGACTTTACCTCTTACATGTTTTATATAAATTTGTGTTCTTTATTTTTCTCTAAGCCTCTTGAGGGTAAGAACGTATATTTCTTTAGGTTCATAGTACATAGTAGGTGCTCAGCATTTACTGATTTGAAATTAATCCAGTATTAAGTGCTCCTTAATGAATGAAATAGCTGGAAAACAAAATTTATCTAGCATTTGACTTCCTTATGGACATTATATCGATCATTCAAATAAGACCTAGGTAAATGGGCTGGGCTCGGTGGCTCACGCCTATAATCCCAGCACTTTGGGAGGCCGAGGTGGGTGGATCACAAGGTCAAGAGATCGAAACCATCCTAGCCAACATGGTGAAACCCCGTCTCTACTAAAATACAAAAATTAGCTGGGCATGGTGGTGAGCGTCTCTAGTCCCAGCTACTTGGGAGGGTGAGGCAGGAGAATTGCTTGAACCCGGGAGGCTGAGGTTGCAGTGAGCCGAGATCACGCCACTGCACTTTAGCCTGGCGCCTAGCGACACAGGAAGACTCTGTCTCAAAAAAAAAAAAAAAAACCCAGGTAAATGTGCAAAAGTAAAACTTATAGCTATATTCACTTGTGTGTACTCTTCCGTTGTGCTGCTTTTATTTTATTTTATTTATTTAAGAGATAAGGCCTTAAATGCTGCCCAGGCTGAATTCAAACTCCTGGGTTCAAGTGATTCTGCTGCCTCAGCCTCCTGAGTAGCTAGGATTATAGTTACATGCCATGACACATGGCAGTATACTGCCTTTATTTAAGTAGAACCTACCACTTGATGACATTTAATCATTCTACATTTGTTTTTCATTATGGCCCAAATGCCATGTGGAGATTATGACTACAGAATCAAAAAGTCCTGGGTTTGCATCCCACCCCTCTCTCAGCTATGCAGTCTTTATTATCCTTATTCGTGAAATAGGAAATTCTACCTCATGGGATTGTTGTGACAACTAAAAGATAAGAGCATAAAATATTTGGCAAATGCAGAGAAAGGATCATTTTGAACCTGTCTTCTGGAATTAGTTTTTTAACAGGGTTTTATCTGTGTTTCTTACCAGTCAGAGGTCAAAAATTATCAGTTGTTTTCTTTGTAGGTCTTTTTTTTTTTTTTCTTTTTTTTAAACAGACATAATCCCATGTTTTAGAAATAGTGTTATATTGTAAAACATTTGGCAAATATAAAATAGTGTAAAGGAAAGAATAATAATCCTCCCATTAAAAAGTTACCATTCTTACCATCTGCTATATTTTCTTCTAGTTGGCTTACTATGGCTGTAGTACATGTTGGGTTATCTTCTGTTAACTTAAAATATTGTGAGCATTCCTAAGTCATTCAAGACAGTTAACAGAATGAAAGTGTAGGTTGGTGTTCAGTTGGAAAACATGATTGTATTTGAAGCATTAAAAAAATACATGTCTTTTTGGATTATAAACCTGATAACATGTTTGCTTTAGAAAAATTTAATTATCTCTAAATGATAAGTCAAATTGTTTATAAAAATTATTTCTGAGAAACAAATTTGTATAGCACTATGAAAGGAAATGTTTTTGAATGTATGAACTTTAGTTGTTCTTTGGTTATTTTATTATATAATGCCTATTTTTATTGATACTGGAGCCAGTTTGTCTTAAGAAATTGTTATACATGTTTACACTATTCTATAATACATGAGCTCACTGCAATACACAAGGGGTTTATAGTAGATATGATTTCTTCCATATTTTTGAGAAAGATTTATGAATGTCTGTATTTTCAAGTCATCTTTCTATGAATTATTCTAGCAGTTCCTACAGAGGTTGACAGCTACCATAGCCTATTTCCTCTAGAACCACTGCCACCTCCCAACCGGATACAGAAATCAAGTAATTTTGGGTATATTACATCTTGCTACAAAGCTGTAAATAGCAAAGATGATCTGCCATATTGCCTTCGGAGGATACATGGTAAGGAAAATACATTATTTTTTTTTATAATCATATCATTGAGGCTAGGATTATTCAAACCTTCTTGAATATATTATTATATGAATTAAAATTTTTATTTGGAAATTAATACCTCCTAAGCAATGTATAACGTGGCATTTTCTTTCCATTTCTGATGGAATGCAAAGGACATGTCACTTAGAGTTTATTGTAGAAGAAAAATTGTCTTTCAGGTTTCCGTCTTGTTAACACAAAGTGCATGGTGTTGGTTGATATGTGGAAGAAAATACAGCATTCAAATATCGTAACTTTGCGTGAAGTATTTACCACTAAAGCATTTGCCGAGCCCTGTGAGTAACTTGTAATTTCTCCTTCTGCTGGTGAGCTTCATTATTTGAAGCCAGCTTTCAGTAATGATTGTTTGTGTTTTATTTTAAGCTCTTGTGTTTGCATATGATTTCCATGCTGGTGGAGAAACTATGATGAGCAGACACTTTAATGACCCTAATGCTGATGCCTATTTCACCAAGAGAAAGTGGGGTAAGAAAAAGATGCAAGCAGACTGTATTTTGACAAATGCTTTTGCTCTGTGGAAGAGTAGTTTTCTGTTTTAAAATACATATAATTGGCTGGGAGCGGTGGCTTACGCCTATAATCCCGGCACTTTGGGAGGCCAAGGCGGGCAGATTACCTGAGGTCAGGAGTTCAAGACCAGCCTGACCAACATGGAGAAACCCCATCTCTACTAAAAATATAAAATTAACCGGCCTTGGTGGCAAATGCCTGTAATCCCAGCTATTTGGGAGGCTGTGGCAGGAGAATTGCTTGAACGTGTGAGGGGGAGGTTATGGTGAGCTGAGATCTTGCCACTACACTCAGCCTGGGCAACAAGAGCGAAACTCTGTCTCAAAAAAATAAAAAAATATATAATTTATCCCTGTAATCATTTGACTTAAAGATTGTTTTGTATTAGTCCGTTTTCATGTTCTTGATAAAGACATACCTGAGACTGGGCAATTTACAAAGGAAAGGGGTTTAATGAACTTAGAGTTTCACTTGGCTAGGGAGGCCTCACAATCATGGCAAAAGGTGAAAGGCACGTCTCACATGGTGACAGACAAGAGAAGAGAATGAGAGCCAAGTAAAAGGGATTTCCCCTTATAAAACCATCAGATCTCATGAGACTTACTACCACGAGAACATTATGGGGGAAACTGCCCCCATGATTCAGTTATATCCTACCTGGTCCCTCCTACAACGTGTGGGAATTATGGGAGCTACAATTCAAGATGAGATTTGGGTGAGGGCACAGACAAACCACAGCACATTTTAAAAAGAAATACATCAAAGAAATGGAGTTGATGGGCAAGAAGTTAGGAAATAATGTATTTTGCACATTTACTAAGATAAGATAGATTTTATTAAGACTCACATAGATATCAGATGTTTAAATAACTAGATATGTGTTAAAATTGTTTTTCTCTTTGAAATGTTTTTCTTTTAAAAATATAATGCTTTTCTTAATAATATAAATAATATCTTTAAAAATTTAAATATTTTTAAATATTTAATATTTTTAAATATTATATTTAAATAATATATTTAAATTATATCTAAATATAAATAATATCTTTAAAAAATATAATGCTTTTCTTCAAAAATTCAGTAGTTTAAAAATGGTCTCTATGGCTTCATTGCCAAAGTATAACCGTTATGAATCTTTTAGTATATTTCTTTCCAGTTTTGCCTTTTTTTTTTTGTCTCCTTTTGCGTTATTTTGTTTTTGTTTTAACATTTTATATCATATTACATCTTTCTTTAAGTATTTACCCCTAATTTTTATATTCTCTCAACATAATTTCCTTTTTTTTTTTGAGATGAAGTCTCTCTCTGTCATCAGGCTGGAGTGCATTGGCACAATGTCGGCTCACTGCAACCTCTGCCTCTCTGTTCAAGCGATTCTCCTGCTTCACCCTCCCGAGTAGCTGGAACTACAGGCGTGCGCCACCACACCCAGCTAATTTTTTGCATTTTTAGTAGAGACGGGGTTTCACCATGTTGGCCATGATGATCTCTATCTGTTGACCTCGTAATCTGCCTGCCTCCACCTCCCAAAGTGCTGGGATTACAGGCATGAGCCACTGTACCTGACCTCTCAACATAATTTAAGGATTCGTAGTATGACTATATTATCCTTTATGAAATTATTTCCCTAAACAAATACTTTTGTTTAAAGGTTGGATTCCATGTTCCTTAAGTTTTCAAAATGGAGTTTTAAGTAACTTTTACTTAAACATGAAATATTTTCTTTTTTGTCTCTTTCTAATATATACTTGAAGAATTGTTTAATCATTGAGATTTTGCAAACCAACCAGAATACTTGAATTCTAACAAATGTATATTAAAGGGTAAATGATTTCTGAGAAAAAGTAAATCCATTTTGAGATGTCTTCATTAATTTATATATTTGGGGAAGGTCTCAGTCTCTGGGGCAAGAAAGAAGCATCACGTTATTATACATTTTAATCTTTTAAAGATTCTTTTCAAGTCAAGATTGCTTGACTTGAAAATTAAAGAGGAAGGGGGAAAGATTTGAGTCCACATTCTAGAATCTTTCAGATTTCAACTCCTTTAAAAACTCTATAGACAAAAATATATTATTTCTGTTTACTTGTTACTTCGCTTTTTGCATTCTGACAGTTGAAAAAGAAAGTTGTGGTTACATGACTGTTTCACATTTAAAATCTGGTCATAAAGAGTGTGGTCAATTTTTTCCTTTTGCTATGTAATCTGTAGACACACGCGTAATTTGTGGAAGGGGATGTGGTACAACTTTTCTTGTAGATGACTATAGTTGTTGCTCAAATTTGTTTTGGTAATAACACCTGTGAAATGACTGTTGGCTTTAATTTATGACTGTGTTTCTCAACCTCCGCACTACTGACATTTTGGGCTGGATAATTATTTTTGTGGGGCTGTCTTGTGCATTTCAGAATGTTTATAGTGGCTTCTTCTGACTGGAGGGCCTGGCTTCTGCCTACTGAATGCCAGGATCAATCCCCTCCACCCCAATTGTAACACCAGAAATATCTCCAGACGTTGTGAAATACTGGAGTGGTTTCTGTTGAGAACTGATCTTTTATAGCATTCTTTTCCAGTAATTTTTATCCTAATTATTCTGTTTTTGGTGTTCACTGATTAACATTACTTTTTCATAGAAAGTAGTCCTTTTTTCTAGTATTTTAAAGTCTTGTTTGAATAGTCGTAACTTCCCTAACCATACCATACCTGCATGATAGTCTACTGTTTTCTTTTACTATGTAATTTATTATCTTGTTGCAAATGAAAAAAATAGCAGAGCATAAAAAATATACTTATTTAGAAGATGAGAAGAATAGCATACCATATAGGGGTTGACAGGAGATTCAGAATGAGTCTATATGAGTAAAACAACTAGAACAGAATCTGGTACACAGTAAGCACTATATGTTTGCTGTGAGCACTCTGTTTTCTTACTACTACATTTATTAAATAGTTTTATTCAAACTCTTCATAGACATTTTTGATATTGTCTTGGCATTTGTTACCAGTGCCTTTTTTGTGTCATCTCTCTTATTTCCAGAGTGTCTTATCTTTAGTTCTATCCAAATTGAGAGAAAATTATTTTTGAACCTTATATGTGCTTCTTAGTGAAAATTTTATTCCAAGCCATAAGTACATATTTACTATTTATTATAAATACATAATCATTTAATTTTGTTGCTTTTTATAACTGATTCACAAAAGGTTGTTTTACAACAATATGAATATAAGGTTGGCATGTCATAGCAGCTCACTCCTGTAGTCTCAGCACTTTGGGAGGCAGAGGCAGATGGATCGCTTGAGCCCAGGAGTTAGAGATCAGCCTGGTCGCAACATAGCAAAACTGTATCTACAAAGAAAAAATAAAAAAGAATGTAAGGTCATATTCCTTGGAATAATTACAAAATCTTGATTAAATTTATATGTCTCCTTTTCTACTGATTTACAGTATATTAATAATGACCTAGAAAATATTATTTAAAAGCACTTAATGAGTTTACACCTGTGTACTAGAAGGGGGTAAGCAGTGTAAGGAAAGTAAACATTCAACATAAGTGATGGTAGAGACTTTTATTTCCATCAAGCCACACAATGAACAACAGCTGTCACATCCCTAAGCAATAATACAGGATAGGATTAGCCAGCCACATTTTAAGTAGAATAACCTCTACAGTTTATGTTTTTATATTCATTTGGTTAACAATTAAATATAAATTCTTTCTTTAAATAATTTTTATTTTTCAATAATTATGTGGTTACAGAAAAGAATATTTCAGTGAGAGTTCTGCTGGTAACAATATAAGAGGCATAATCTCGGACAGGAACCTTTGGGCAATGGACTAAACTTAAAATACACACACACACACACACATACACACATGGGCGCGCGCACACACACACACACACACACATAAAAATTGACATGTTGTGCCATGAGTGTACATGACTTGTCTTTTGTAATTTTGGTTTTAATATTTTAGTCTTTTAGTTGATTACTTAAGATATCATATTTTGGATTTCTTTGCTGTATAGGTCAGCATGATGGACCACTGCCCAGGCAGCATGCTGGATTATTGCCAGAATCTCTTATTTGGGCATATATTGTCCAACTAAGCTCTGCGTTGCGTACCATTCACACAGCAGGTTTGGCATGTCGAGTTATGGATCCAACAAAGATTCTGATTACTGGCAAAACAAGGTACTAGCATTCTGAGTTTTGGCTTTTATTGAGCATCTTACAGTGCACAGCTTAGTAAACAAAATGTGATGATTTGTTTTAATTCTGCCTTTTCATATATTCCATCCAGAAGAACTTCTGTGACTTTGAATCCATTTGTAAGCTTTTAAAAAGAAAAAAAAAAAAGTTGAACTCTGAATCAAATACCTGATTATTAACCAAAAACATTGGGAAAGGTCAGAGAAGTATATGTGTTAGGGTTAGGGGAATACAAAAATAATGTCACTACCACTTTTCCTTTCTATATAGCACCATGGTTCACAAATTCTAGCATGAATCAGAATTGCCTGGAGGACTTAAAAGACACAGATTGCTGGGCCATACTCCCAGAGTTTTTCATTCATAAATCTGCACTGGGGACTAAGAATTTGCATTTTTAACAAGTTTCTAGGTGTTGCCGTTGCTGCTTTTGAGTCACATGCTTTGAGAACAACTGGTACAGTAATCAGTCTTGTCTTCATCTGAGTTTTGAGTTGCTGTAATTTTGAGATTGCCTTGGGCTGCATCGTATAAAGAGCTGAATATCTGGTACCAGGTTATCTAAGTTTATATCCTGGCTTTGATAGTTACTATCAATATGCCATTGAACAAGTTAATTCTTCAGATTGTGTTTCGATAACCTTATTAGACAAGTATACTACTAATTCCATTCTCCTTATTTATGAGGCACCCCTCATAAGGTTAATGACAGATTTAAATGAGTCACTACATATAAAATGCTTGGAACAGTGCCTGGTACATCTTTTGCAAGTGTTAGAAAGCTAACTAGTTCTCCTTTATGAGTAACTAATAAACAGCTTGGAATGGTGAAAAGGACACTGACTTGTTAGTCAAGAGATGTGAGTTATAGTTCTGGCTTCATCAGTTTCTGACTTTTACAATTATAGGTATATCACCTGATATCTCTGAGCCTTAATTTTCCCATATCTAAACTGGTGGTTGGTGGAGGTGGTGTGGGGAGGGGTGGAAGTTAAACTCAGTTCTGAGAGCCTTCCTAACATTTTGGGAAATGTTACTTTTCCATGAATATGTAATTTTTCAAAAACTTATTTTAATTCTTTTCTTTAAATTATCTGGTCCTTAAAGGTTGCGAGTAAATTGTGTTGGAGTTTTTGATGTTTTAACATTTGATAACAGTCAAAATAATAATCCATTGGCATTAATGGCCCAGTACCAGGTGAGTAAGAATTAACAGGGATATTTGCTTGTCTTCCTTTTTTAAGGCTTGTTTTCCTTTATTAAAGACAAATTTTGTTTAAAGTATTTCAGTGTTTTAAGCCTAGATTTCAATTGATTTTGGGGTGGTCTCTATGCAGACTTTGAGCATGTATTTCCCCTTTCCTCCCCACCCTCTCTTTTCTTCCTTTCCTTTCCGCTCTCTATTTCTTTCTCTCCCTTTTCCTTTTTTTTCCTTTTTCTTCTGTCTTGCTCTGTCACCTGCGCTGGAGTGCAGCCAGCTCACTGCAGCTTTTGAACTGGGCTCAAGCAATCCTCCTGCCTCAGCCTCCCACATACCTGGGACTACAGATGTGCACTACTGTGCCTGGCTAAATTTTTTTTT